TGCTCTCTATCCCTCATTCTCTCTCTCTCAAATAAATAAATAAAATCTTTAAAAAAAATAAAATAAATTCAGAGATTAGGAAACAATTACTATCGTTGGAGCTGACTTTAAAACATATCCCATTTGAGCTATTGCGCACATATCTAAGTGGGATTTGACAGGTGGATAAAAGATTCGTTGATTCCTGTTTGGGGGATTGCTTTAGACTTGCTGCTTCAACAGGCTTTCAAACCAGGTTTGAGTCTTACAGAACAAACTGAACCCTGGAGTCCTTCCCTGGAACTGCAACCCCCAAAATGACAATTATACTAAGCCAAGGCTAACGAAGGCTCTAAACTGCCTGTGGAACAGTGGCTGTGTGGTGTTGTAGAAGCTCAAAGGGGAAAATGCTTTGGGGGAGAAAAGTTGGCTGTTGATTTGCCTTCAAACACCTGAGAAGTTTCTGTAAACAACAGCATGTACTAGCGTGACGGTGCATGATCTAGATGAATCACTTGCCAATTTGCTCCTTCATTCAGTGAAGGGATTTGCTCTCATTGTGCCATCCAGTGAGAATATAGAGATCTGGAATGTGTAAGGCGCTGGTTAGATGACGTGTGATTTGTCAGTTTAGAAACTGTTGGCTACCCAGGCCTGGCTGGGTGTCTGAAATTTTGCTTTGATTATTGTAAATAACATATCCCGATTCAAGGAGCACTTGACTCCCCAGGATAAATATTTCTACCCAAAGGACCAAGATTGGAAAGGTAAAATATATTTCTAAGGTTACCTCATAAAGAGATGTATGAAACATCTTAAGAGACAAGGAAATGTTAAACAAGTTAATTCAATAGAATCGTAGAATGTCCTCTTAGAATCCATCTTTTTCCTTTTAGGGAGGAGGCCACTCAGCTACCCGGAGACCGGAACAAAGCTTTCCTCCATCATAGTCCAGTGTGCCTGACCCTTCCCCCCTCACAATTAACATAGGCAGACAGTCACAGGACTGACTCTGGACCCGAGGAGAGGTCAGGGTGGCTTGGAAATCAATAATCAGGCACAGGGCTGTCCCCCAGGAGCAAGTCTGATCTTAGGCCTAACACAGTGGCATGACCTTTATATTTTGTCCTCCCTCAAGCACCCTCAAGGTGTCCAGAATCCAAGTTCTTAATACATTTTCAAACAGTGAGAAGGTCTATGTCAGAATCTTAAGAAAAATAACATTTATCCACTATTGGCTAAGCCCCTTATGTGGAGGCCACTCAGTTAGGCTCAGAGGCGTCAGTGGCTGGGTGCACAGCCTGAGAGGGGTTACGACCTGGCAAATCCACTTGCTGAGTCTCACGAAAACCTCTTCCTGCTTCTGCCGTATTTCCAGAAGAGTTTCAGGAAGTATCAAATACCTCCCCATGGACTGCGTCAGATCCAGCAAGCTTTTACAGAGAGCCATCTCTCTCTCTCGGGGCTTCCCACTCATTACTGACCAAGTGGTGGACTTAAGTGTGGGATGAGATAATCTGCCTGTTTGCATCTTTCCCTCTCAATTCCCAGTCTCTCTTTTATTTTTTTAAGATTTTATTTATTCATTTATTTGTCAGAGAGAGAGGGCACAAGCAGGAGGAGTGGCAGGCAGAGGAAAAAGAAGTCTGCCCGCCGAGCAAGGAGCCTGATGCGGGACTTGATCCCAGGACCCCGGGATCATGACCTGAGCCTAAGGCAACTGCTCAACCAACTGAGCCACCCAGGCATCCCTCAATTCCCAGTCTCTTAAGGCTGAAATTATTTTCTTAGGTCAGACACAGAGAGTGACTTTTAAAACGCACTTTCCTTTATAGCATGACTGTGGGAAAGGATAGATGCTCCATTCACTCTGGGCAGGATTAAAAAGTCTCATTTAACGTATTTGTTAGAATTGGAGAAAGAGAGTGCCAAAGGCAGGATGAGACAGGGAGTGGCACAGGGCACGAGAAAGTGGTTGCTGTGTGGCCGTCAGGGAATAGGGAGTGTAAAAAGCTTCTTGCACACATCGCCTCATCTATAAAAACCAGAACCACTTGGCATCTCTCTAAGTAACAAATGGATCTAAGGGCTGTAGAGAAGAGTTGTTGGCAGGAAATGGTCCCCAGGGCTATGATATTTTCAGACCCTGTGCGTTTCCCTGTAATGCACAGATCATGGATTACAGAGCTCTACTCACATCTCTCTCTCTCTTTTTTTTTTTTTTTTACCTAAAGACAATTTTGCAGGTTCTGGTTTGTCTGACAGTCACAATTTCTCGGAGTAAGAGAATAAATTCGGATAGTTGAGTTGCAGGGAGGAGGAAAGAAGTGTGAAGAAGTATTAAGACAAGTATGGAGGAGATCGTAGTGACAGAGGAGACAGTACTCATAGGGTTGCTTGGGCAGGCCCCTTTCAATTTTCAGGACTTTGGCTTTCAATGGAAACGTTTGTTGTATATGAACAAGTGCGAATGGACCTGTAGGTGTGAAACCTTTCTGTGTCCTACTGTAACCTAACCTAAACCTACTGTAAACATGCACCTTGCACAGCAGAGCACGTAGGAAGATTCCTACAAACTCAAGCTGATTGGTTTTGAATCCCAAATCGATTTCCACTAGAATGCTGAAATTCACTGATGGGCTAATAAATCTGCAGGAAGAAGGAAACCTCAGCAGATGTTGCAGCCACCAAAAAAACCTGAGTTTAATTTTAACTGGTTTGTCCCAGGGCAAACTGGTTGTTCTGTCTTGTTTCTCTCTTTGAAACATCGAGGCAGCAGCTTCACTTGGTGCCACAGAAACTGTCTATAAAATAAAAAGTCTCCATTTCCTGTCCTCTCCTTTAGCCAAAGTAAACTGCCTTCCATGACTCACCCTTGACTGCATGTTGACTCTGCTCCCCTCCCCAGATACAGAAAACAAAAACAAATAAGTAAACCCTTACCAGCTGAGAAGACAGGAACAACAGGCAAAACTTCAAAATCCTTTTTTTTTTTCCCAAGCCTGAAACCTCTCAGCATTCAAAAAACAATTCAAAGTCATAATTCCTGGCAAGATTTGCATTGAGACTGAAATAGGCACTTAATAGTAGATAGGATGTCAAAGGACACTCAAACCTTTTGATCCCAATCTTCGAGTCAAAGGACATGTTTACACCAGTTGTGCTTCTTCCCGAGTAAATGGGACACCTTATTGTTATTTAATTGTACTCAGTCTTCTCTTTGCTATTGTGAAGTCTTTCATGCTATAGCATGGTGGAGGATCCTTTATATTTTTGAAAATATTTAGGATCCTACCCCTGGTGTAACTATAAACTGCTCTACACCTCTAATCAAGTTGAAGCTTGCAGTGATTGTATCCTTTGGGTTATTTTCACAGTCACGGTTTTCTAGGCTCTTCTTTCCCTCACTGTTCAACTTCTAAAGTCCTAAATGTGCCTACCACCAGCTATAGCTCCACTCCAGCCCAACCTTCCCAGTGTGGGTTGTCATAATACTCACCCCCGGCATTCAGGACCTTGGCTAACTCCTCTGCACCTTTTTTGCCTGGTCTGGGGTTGATAACTCCAGATTTAAAAAGCAGGCCGAGTCTCGCTTTTAATCTCGCCTTTTCTCTGGAAAACGTAATATGGCAAAGATAATGCATGTCATGTTTTAGCAACACTGTTTTACCCTCGGGAGAATTAGCGTCATTACATACTTTAGCAGCTACTTGTCCCCACATTTATTCACTATTTATTTATTTATTTATTTTTGAGCAGCATCCCGCTGCCTTCTTGCTGACGTTGGTCAGGGGAAAGGCACCCTCCCTCAAGGCTGGCCAAGCCTTCTTCCTCTCATTAGCGGTGCAACCCTGTGTTCCCGCTGGAGCCCAGCACGGAAGTGTCATCTTCCCGCGGGGGCCTCCTGTTGTCTCGCCTGGCTCAGAGAGCTGAGACTAACTGAAATATAAAATATTAACTGTTAGAGAAAACAAAGGATACCGCCCCCAGCATGGCTCCTGTGCCTGAGGCTTGGCCACGTCTCAGTAGTCCCTAGGCCTCTCTGTCTCACCCGCAACCTCACCCCTCCATGGGATCCACGAGTTGAATTGCAGCTCTCCAAAGCGAATTCCCCCGGCCCTGTAACCCGACTCCTCACAGCCACGCGTTCCCTTCTGCCGGGAGCTCAGAATGACCACCAGGAAGCCAGGAGCAAAACACTTAAATGTTGCATTTATTAAGGAAATGTTAAATAAGAAAAAAAAAGTCAAAACGGTGTCATGAATGTCAAGAGCACTTTTGTGGCGTAAACCGTGCAGTCATGAGCTACAAGTTCTAGTCCAAGTCTTTGCCCCGGGGCTAGCTAGGGCGTCAGCCTCCTCCCCCCACCCCCAGTTGGAAATGCAATAAAGGAAACAAATCACCCGGTTGAACAGTCGCAGGCTTCCCCCTCCCCCCACCCCTTCTCCCAGGATAACAAAACTAACGCCAGGCAGGCAAACAGGCCACTAGGGCAGCAAAGGACCTATCAAATATGTGTATTCAAGCAAACAAACACAAAAATCCCTTAAAACAGCACGTTGCAATCAATCAAAGGTATTTATAGTCTCTCGCGCCAGGGCTGGGAGGAGCGGGAGATAATGGGCGCGAATCCGGACCCTGATCTGTGTGTCCCCATTAGTTCTGTTGCGTGGCGTATATACCGGTCACTTTTCGGGCCACCAGGCAATCGATACCGCTGGGTCTTTCCCCTGCCCGCCCGCTCCACCTGCCCCGAGAGCTTGGCCCACCTGCGGGTGGAGAAGGGCCGTCGCAGGGTGGGTCTCCCCGCATCCCACGCTAGCGGCAGCTTCCAAAGTTCTGCGCTCTAATTGCCCTCTTCTTGCCACTTGCTTCTGAGTCCAGTCGGGGCCCTCTCCTCCTACTGCCAGGAATGGGGACTTTCAGAGGGCGAGCGAGAAAAGGGTCGCTTCATCCCGAAAGGCAAAAGTCGAGAGAAATAATTGACTCCGACAGGTTTGCTTCGCCCGGTCTCGGATGGTGAGGGGGCGCGGCCGGGCGGGCTAAGTGGGGAGGCGTTGGGGCGGCTGCCGCGGGGGCGGGAGGGCCGGTCAGTAGGGCCCCACGACCACCGCTTCCACCTCCTTAGACGGTCTCCGGTCTTTCACCAGGAAGTTGATCATGCCCTCGGACTTGATGAGGAGGTTGCAGCCGAGGAAGAAGATGCCGAAGACCACGGTCAGTGAGAGCACGCACATGACAGCGATCTGCACCACGCGCATGATGTACAGGCTGCGCTCGTCCGGGCCGCCCTCGGCGAAGCCGTCGTCGGTCACCACCGACGCCTGGGTGCAGCAGCGCACGGCGCGCTCCAGCGCCTCGCTGCTGTTGGCCAGGAGCAGGCCCGCCACATCGGTCTGGTTGTCCGGCGCCGGATTCATCGCGGGAGCCGGCGGGCGCCCGGGGAGGCGCGGGTCCGAGGGGTGGGAAGGCGGTGGCGCGGGAGGAACAGATACGGAGCGGAGCGCTCACTTGGGAGACTTGCGCGCGTGGGGGCTGCTCGCTCTCTCCTTTCCTAAGTCCCCGGGTCGTGGGACTTTCCCAGGAGCCTTTCCGACGCGCGCCGCAGCCCGCCTGGTCTGCGCCGTCTGCTCCTGCCCGGGCGGTGCTGGTTCCCGGCGCTCGCTCGACTGGGGGCTGTTGGAACTTGGCGGGGCTGGGCCAGTGGGGCCGTGGGAGGTGCGGCGGCGGCGGCGGCGGCGGCGGCGGCGGGGCGGCTGCTCTGAGCGAATAGCGGCCCCTTCCGGCCGCACCACCGCTCTGCGCCCGCGGCCGTTTGGCCGTGGGGGAAGGAAAGGGGCGAACCTCCTCCTCTCGCCTTTCTTGCTTCTTGCTTTCAACTTCAAAGACTAGGCAGAAGTCACTGTACTTTTCTGGCCTGATGGATGATTAAAGAGTTTCGGACGGAGGAGAGGTTGCGATCAGCTGAAAGTTTCCAAAGAACTGGGTCACACCAGCTCTGCGTGTCTTTTGCCTCCCGCCCCTCTCACCTCTGGGCGGATGGAAAGTGGCGATGAATCGCAGGTGCCAGATGGTGCCCTGCGAACGCATGGGCCGCCGCCTGTGCCTGATTCCGTCTTGCCTGCGACGGATTTCTGGTGGAGTAGGGATGATCTGGGAGGTTTTCTGTCTTTGTTTTTGTTTAAGTATTGATTTTAGGAAGAAAGAAAGCAGGGAAGGAGGGAAGGAAGGAAGTAGAAAAGGGAGGGAGGAAGGAAAGAAGAAAAAGAGGAAGGAAGCCATTGGAAGACAGAATAAGACAGGTTTTATAGTGATTTTTGAGGCGAAGGAAAGGAAGGGGGTTAGGGGAAGGATATGCTCTTCTGTGGCCTTTGTGTAGAAATGATTGCCGGAAGCGGGGTCACCTCTCTGGTAAGGGTGGGAAGATGGACAGAGTGGGCACTCTTATAATCGGGGTTGCAGATGAGTTTTTGGAAGTGCTTCCAGTGTTTTTCTCGGTTGGCGGTAAATCAGTCGTTTTATTGCTCATCAATATCCATCACCTAGAACACTGGCCAACTGCTGCAAGCCCTCCCCATTTTCCATAAACTGATGTATTGCGTCTTCGTCATTTTGAACAAAGCTACAGATGTTTCAGGGGCCTGATTGAGGCTTTAGCCCATTATGATTTTGCTGCTGGCTTCAGGAAAATGTTACAAACCTGTCAGATTGTTTCTTAAGCTCCAGAAGAATTCTTCGGGTTTTTTGTTTGTTGGTTGGTTTTTCTCTTTTCTACTTTCTTTCCCCCCTCCCCCTTCCCCTCTCCCTTCCTTACTTCCTTTTTTCTTTCAACTGTAACAGGTGGAAACCAGTAACTTGAAGCTCAGTCCAAACTTTTGATAGAATACATTTACCACATTCTATTAAAACATAATAGCTGTCTTGCTATTTTCACCTCTGTTCTCAATTCCATTCTTTTTGCTTGTTAAACTCTTTTATGTTTCTCTCCCCGAACATCATTTTCTCCACGTTGAGAGATTTCCTTATTTTTTTCTTACTACTTCATGACCACCATAATATAGATTGAACTATCTTTCAGTTGAGAGTTTTCAATTTTTGAGTGTTGATTATATATCAGCTTCAATAAGCTTAGATCCTTCTAAATAGCTATTTTTTATTTTAGGTGTAGTTTCATAGCTGAAAATCTGGGCTTTTGGTCCTTATCTATAATTCACCTGGTTTATGGCTCTATTTTCTCATGATTTCATTAGCCTTGAAGAATGCTCCACTCCCAACAATTTCTTCTTTGGACAAATGTGTTATTAATTGATTGGAAAAAAAACTTATTTAAATCTCACTATACAATCAGTCTATCTTAGTTAAGATGGGTGATACTTAACAATAAAACATAATGTATATGTGAAAAAATTACAGAAGAATTTGAGACATTATAAAGCAACACTAAAATGAATAATAAAGGCAAGTAGTAGAAATTAGTAGAAGAGCAAAAGGTGGAGAACAGAGGCCAACTTCCAGGGATGTTAACTTGCATAGGGTTGTTTGTTTCGTAGAAGTTGAGTGTAAATGGGTAGAGATAGATAGTTCCTTCTTCATGTGACAAAACCAAATAGAATCATATAGTACAGTACATTTGTAAGGTCCAACATGGTAGGACTTGAGTTAAAAAAATGCCTTAAAATGTTAATTGAATCATTATCAGGATTTGCGTGTGCTTTTGGATATTAACAGTATTACCATTTTAGTTAGAAACCAGTGTAAAGATGATCAAATCTTGGAGTTCATTGGAGGTTTGATACCATCAAAACTTTCTTTTCTTTTGGCATTATCTACTAGCCAGCAGCAAAATTGTGAGTAAGAGGAAAATAATTGTTCCCACCAGTTAGTTCAGATCTCTGGGAATGTGGTTCTGTTTCCTTCATCTCCCCACCAGCCTGCACCACTCTGATTCTGTTGAATGAAATTGTTTGCAGTATTGAGGTGAAAATTAACTATAAACCTACTGGTAAAAAATAGATATATATTTATCATCTAATTTAAGGGAATCTAGCTAAGCCGCTAGATACAGTTTTTCTGCAGAAACTTATTTATCTTTCCATTTTGTATTTTGAGTGAATATTTTTCTCTCAGCTTTGTTCCCGTTATTCACCTATTTCCTAGGAAAACCTTACAGATGTGGGAAAAAAAATCTTTTAAAAAATGTGGGCATAGAAAAACTTAATTTCTAGAAAAATAGATGGTGATATGGAATATTTACTTTAAATAAAAAGTTTTGATACATAGAAAGACCCACGGTTATATTTATTTAACTAGTGACCTCTTCTACTTCATTGGAAAAAGGTTTGATTTTCAGAAAGTTAAATGTTCAGCATTTCACAATATACATGTAATACAAGGAAAGAAACACTTGTTTATTCTTTCCAGAAAACATATCTATGGCATATCGTAAGTTCTACAAAAATATTCTAGGCTGATATTGTTGGGCATCTGTAATCATTAGTCATTGGATCTAAAGATTGAATTGCCTTGATGTGGGACCAGACACTTTCAATGTCAAAAACCTTTTCCTTTGTTTTCTATTTGTGTGTATTATGAAAATACTAAGTAGACATTTTTCAGAAGAGCATATCAGACATAGAAAGGATACTTGTGATTTGGGGGCAAGGTTTTTTAAAAAATACATTATATGAGGAGTAAGAGTAGGCACTCATGTTCATTCTTAACTGCAGACTCAGTACCTGGAACACAAGAAGCAAGCCAGAAATAAGCAAAATATGTCATCAAACCACCAGAATAGATATGAGAGCCAAATACCTAAACTTATATACTTTTACCCTTAGAATGTCCCCCCAGATTCTCTCTCAAACCTGTGCACTTTGCTTTTCACACAGTTTTAACCCTTTCTTTCTTTCTTTCTTTTTTCTTCCTTCCTTCCTTCCTTTCTTTCTTTCTTTCTTTCTTT